AAAATGGAAAATTCATTTGTTTAGTTTTTTTTGAATATGTGTTATTTTACAGTTTTTAAAAATACAAAAAAGAGTAAAAATAACTTTCAAATACAAGTGAGCGTTCTCACTGTTCAAATCAATTCCAATGATAATTTTTTATTTCAATCTCCAGGTGAAGCCTATGCAACCTTCTCAGAGGAGAAGCGTCTCATAGCTTCAGTTGCCTCGCCCACATTATACTACTGCATTTCACAAAACAGATGTTCACAGACGACATTACTGTGCTGCCTCAGTTGCACACTGGACTAAGGGTACACTGACAATCAGGATATTGATGGGGTAATGCCACTGGGAGGACAGAGGGGGCAGATTCAGCAGCGTAGATAAAAATACTATTATCTCACCACAGTATTACATCTGCCAGTTGGTAATGATTTACCGATTTACACAAGAATACTTCGATTGCTGTCTCCCAGCTGATGCAACTGTTATAAAAGCTTGTAGGAAAGAACCTTTAGATCAGCACATTTTTCCTATGGGCTTGAGGCATTAATTTTCCTGATCCTTACTGGCACACACACATGCCCGCCTTCCACCCAGCCTAGCCTTTGCATTGGGAACTCCTCCAAGCTGAGACCAGCTATTTTATTTTTGTGCAATTGGCTAACATATATGCATGCAAAACAAAACCCCAAACAACAAAAATAAACAACGAAGTCACAACATACCAGTGGCCATACCATCTCGTTGCTTGAAGCACTGATGTCTCTGTTGCAACAATCTTCTACATTATCAAACCGGTGGCTGTTCTCGATGAGGCTCTGTCTTGCTCTAAGCAATTTTCCTCAATGCTTTCAAGGCAGCAGAGAGTATATATTGCCTCGCAAGTGTAAGTTCCTCTCACAAAAGAATTTAAACCAAAAAAGTATGCCACTTGGGAAAAGAAATAATTCTAAAATATTATGTGAGAAAGCGGTAACACGGTTAGCTGAGGTCACATCCTCATGGATGGGCATAAAGGGAGATCTCGGTAACAAGGGTAAACTCAACTCCGTACACACGTTGCCAAGGCTGCTTTGGTACATCACAGCATTTGTTAAAGGGTAACTTCTGCTTTGTACTAGACACAATGTTCAGATTTGCTCAAACTTTGAAGTTTACAGAGGGGTGGATGAGTCATCCATCCAAAAAGCTGGAAAACAGTGAAGCTGTCAGCTTCGAAAGACGCTTGTGAAGCTGGAAGTGCCCGGATCATCACAACAAAATAAGCAAAACCACTTAAGAACAGGGAGTGACACATTTGCTGTTTTCAGTACAACATGATGCCATTCCAGGCTGTTTGCCCTCCTTCATTGCCTTACATCAAACCTTTAACTTGGTGCTTCGTAGCTGCATCTACAGTGTTTAGAAATAGGCAGGACCAAAGCACTCTGCTCTGGGGTCTCCGCTGGCTGCACCGCCCTGCCATTTGTAAGCAGCATGGGGTTTACCTCAGGGGAAGCTGCAGGAGGCTGCTGACCCCTTGCTGCAACCAGCTGCTTTGCACAGCTGCACACAACAGAGCAAATTGCTGAAGGCCAGCAGAAAAGAGCTGTGTTTCTGCCAATACGATAGAACTGGTTTTGATGTAAAAAAAAACCAAAACAAAACAAACCCCATTCGGAGGCCAGTACATCCCCTACTGTGTCTCTCACGTACTGAGACAAGCAACGTTTGAGACCAAGCTATTGCCTGCACTAGACAGCACATCTGCATCTAAGATAGCGACCTAACACTTCAGCACAGCTCGCTGGGTACTTCCTCCAGGGGTGCTCGACCCAAGTAATAACCATTAACTGCTTCAGCTCACAACCAGCCAGCCGCACCCTTCCTTCACCTCTGGGTTTGGAAAACACGCTGCCTGCCGTTCTGTCATACAACCTGACCTCTGTCACCCGTCTCATACTGATTGCACTAACAAAGAGCTAGTTTACTGCTTACCCTGCAGTGCCCTTCCCACCTTGTCCATGTCACCCCAGAAACCTCTAAAGGTGATGCTGCCATGTCCCTTTCCCAGGCTCACTAGCTTCCCCTCTTGTGAGCCTCAGCTTTTCTTCACTCATTTCTTTTCCATCTCTCCAAGTGCCAGAACCTCCTCTCGCTTGAAGTGAATCTCAATTCCCAAGGCAGTTGACAAGTTCTCTTAACTTTTACAATTAGAACCACAAGTTTTATATGGCTTCTTTTTGTTGGGATTTTTTGGGGGGAGGCAGTAGGGGAGGTTTGAAAAACAGACTTATTGCACAGCCCCCACACCTTTTTTCTCTCCAAAAACTCTAATAATCATGCAACTCCTACGTTCCAATCAGCACCAGTAATACTTAAAGAATCAGAAACCGGATTGTTTTTAAGTTTAAACAAGCATTTATTTTCCAGGACATCTTAGAGATCAGATGTCCTCTACCTCCCAGGTTCTGAGAGGTAGCAAGACACAAAACAGACTGTGGTCTTTTTCATAGCCTGTATTTCACTTACTCCCAAATTCAAAGACACCTTGTACTTTAAAAACAGATCCCAGTGGAAGAATTCATCCAACTGGAAACGATCGTGTATGTTTATTTTGTCATCAGTTCAACCCCATATGGTTTTCCCATCTCTAAAATTCTGCTGTGTCCTGCCAAAAATCACTTGCAAGTATCTTGTGATGGCGTAACGGGAACATAAGCGCTGATAACAGTGAAACACCAGGACACCTTTGCTGAGGTTGGAATGCACTGCAAACACCCCACTTGTCCTAGAAGTCAGATTCTTGTACTGCCCCCACACACCCCATACTAGTCTTCTCTATCAAATCTGATCAAGTAAATACTGTATCTTAGTCATCTCTTACTCTTCAGCCAGCATTAGCAATTTTTCCCCAACAACTTAGTTCAAAAACTTTACTTTAAAACATAGACCCTTCTTCCTACGTGATGTAATTAGACTGTCTGTGAAAACCATTAAAAACTGGGGTTTCTCGGCGGGGGGGAGAGAATGAGGAGAGTAGCATGTGTTTCAACAAGAACAAGTGTTCGAGTCCAAAAGAAGCAGAACTTGGCACGAGCCAGCACAACTGAAAGCAAGGAATTCCACTCATTCTGCTCCAACTTACCTCAGTAATTACCTGAGGTAGGTTTCTGAACATGTTTCAGAAAGAGAAGCTAGATTAACACAGCCTAGCTCATTAAGAGACCTCATCAATTTATACCAAAACAAGTACTTTGAATACATACTAAATCTGCAAACTCACTGATCTTCCTTAGGGAAGTCTGCTCCTTCACCCTCACCATTCTCAAAACAAAAAGATCCAAGGATCTGGGTATTTCTAGGTTCTCGATACAACTCTTCCATAGCAGTGCAACAGAGCTTTTCTTGCTCAAACTTCCAGTCTGTACCAGTTATATATAGTAAAGGTTCATCTATATAGTCAAGTAACACTCTTGAACTGTTTTCAGACTCTTTAGATACCTCTGGAGGAGGAAGTGGGACAAAGAACCCTCCCATCAGATGACTGTAGACAGCAACTGGATACAAAACATAACCAGAAAAAATTCAAGACAACAGCGATGCTCTTAGAACAGCCCCAAAGTGCTCCCCTCTATGGCAAAAATATTGGAACAGTGCTAGAAATCAATCACACCGTCATTTGTCCATTACCTTAATTACAGAGGAGGTACATGGGAGGAAAACAAAAGTTGGGATTAGCAAAGGCAGGCAAAGCCTAAAGGTGAAGCAGCAAATTACAGTATTAGCAGATTCATATGATGGCGCTGGTGGGGAAGGAGAAAAAAAGTCAACTGTAGGTTTCAAGGTAACAAATATTTTTGCAGTAGGCTTTTCTCCCTCAGGAAAGGAAGAATTTAACTTACAATGTCATTTTCCTCTTACACCGACCTCCTCTAATTTCTCCTACTTAGTGACTTCTCATAACTCTTCATCCTATTAATTTAGTTTGCTAATATTTTTCCCAACCAAACGTACTCATTTGTGTAGTATGTACTTCAGGGTATTTTTTTTTTTTCCAGTCTTTTAACTATGGCAACTTACCTATGAAGCATTTTAAATTTCAAATCAGCATTTTGAAGTTGAAGTTTTACTTTGTGCTTCTCTTAGAACTGCTGTGATCAACTTAACTGGCAGTCCCTGGAATCTTACAGCTAATATTAGGGCTACCAGAATTGCGCTTTCCTTCTTCAACCACACAGCCTCAATTTGTGCATCTTTCATAGTCAATATGTATTTTCCTGAATGGTTTCAATTTTTTTTTTTTTTTGAGGACTAGAGGATTTACCCGCTACGGTTTCAATATTTTTTTTTTTTTTGAGGACTAGAGGATTTTAATCTTAAAGGAAGTGCTATTTCTTATTTTTTTACTTAACATTATATTCTTCTTTCACGTAACTATAAATGCTAAGAATGCAAGAACACCCAAGTGACAGATGTTCCCATATCAAATTCCCTTCAAAAATTGACCATGGAGAAAAAGATGGAATCTTTCTCTGAAACCAACAAATCCACCCCACAAATTGCCCCGAGCTCCACCGCTTTAGCAAAGCATATTTATATTGTCGATGCTATGCTTCCCTCTACGGTTTATCATAAGAAGTGCAGTTACCTCTTAACATTCTGAAGTCTTCCTTAAAAAAACCCAACATATAAACCAATCTTTAGTTGCAGGCAAAACTTAGTAAATAAACTCAATGAAAGTTTCATTTTGTTCATGAAAAATTAAGAGGCACTGAGCAGAACTATCCCCACTTACCTCAAGCTCAGTATTACATGAGATATCAACTACAACATGCTAATTGTCTCACGTTGTAGTTTACAGTCTAGGAAAAAGTCAGCTTCAAGCAGGCAGAAAGCTGCAAAGACCAAAGCAATGTAACAAAGAGTAAAAAGCCACCAAGAACCAAAGAATTATCATGGAAATAACTAGTCATGTGTCACAAAACGGTGTTATGTATTTCATATAATTGATTTCAAGAAATGAATTCCACAGATACATTAAAACCGTCAAAACAGTAGTGGTCTTTATTTCCATCAGACAAGTTAACACTTCGGTTAATATGAATTTATTTCAACATTTGGGAGATACGGAAATTAATGACTATTAAAAAAGTGAAATAAAGCCCCTTCCAAAAAGATATTGGATAATACGTGTCTGAATTTTATACTGTCCCTCTGATGAGCCCTTTACATTATGTGACATCACATACAGTTTTGCAAGACAAAATATTTTATGGACTGTTTTTCAGCCTCTGATTTGTGAGCCCTCATGGTGTCAAAGAAAAGCAAGTTTATACATGCTATGCAACAACCTAAGTACATAGATTTCAAAGGGGTCTCAATTCAACTGGAAAAAAAAAAAATCTAGAGAGGTCCACAAATAAAGGTAGAAAATACTGTATTGGAATAAACACTCAAATCTTAGTGTCCTGGAGGGAAAGTTAACATTAGTTTAAAACCAGAAAATACATTAGCCAGTATTTTTCTAATTTTAGAAACTGGGCTTTGAATAATGCAGCTATCAGTTGTTTTTGATTAAGATCAAGTTAAAAATTCCAGACTACAGAAAAGTCTTCAAAGAAATGAAAACAAATCTCCTCCCTTTGTCATCTAACGCCAAGTATGTACCATATAAATAACATCTGTACTACAGAACTCTTCATACAGATCGGAGATTTTCAACAGAAACAGGATTTCATTTCAGTGTTAAGCCAATAACTAAAATTTTAGTTTGCATCTTGTTTAAAGTTTTTAATATAGAGGAGAATTAGTCCTGCAAAACCAGTTAGCAGTCTGTTCCTGTTGCAAGTCACGACTGCTGAAAAATTACAATCTTAACCCCCCTGGCCAAGTTTTCTCGCAGTCTTGCCAAGAAACCCATGTAGTCACAGAAAGCTTGTGTTTTTTTTTTTTTTTTTGTTGGGGGGGCGGGAAGGAGGGGCAGGGGGGTGTTAAATAAAAAAGTGTCTCATCTAATGAGGAAAGGAAAGGCAAAAAGATCAATGACTAGTTTTCACAGTAAAATGCATCAGCTTTGTAGTTTCATTTGAAACCAAGAACAAATCATGAGACGTCATGAAAATAAGATAAAAAAATCTCCTAGAGTGATTACTAAATGAAGTTAAAATTACCACACTAATCAGTAAACCCCAGAAGAAAAGCAGATGCCTCATATCACAGGTCCTACATTAAACAGTATCCACTTTTTAAAATAAATCCATAAAATCTGGATGTTTGGCCACTTTGCACATTTTTCCCCTAAAAAATACAGTGTACAGAAAAAAAAAAATCTTGTTATTCCCAGTATGAATTCTGAAGTAGAAGCTCAAAACCCAGAAGTTAAAGATCAGCTAAAAGGATTTTAAATTATTTACAAATCCAGCAGGTAAAACTACCATAATGGCTTCATTTCCATCCTTGTAGTGGCTTTCGCTCTTCTCCAGCAGCATCTGCAGTAGGAATCTCTTCAGACAGCTTCATCACTGGTCATCTGTCATTTTGAGCAATTCTAGAAGAGCCCCAACAGCTCCAAAATAACCCTTTAAACAAGGCAAAGGCAAAAGCAAAACAAAACCAATCAAATTCCAAAATAAGACATAAGCATGAGCATGTAAAGTCTTCAGTTCTGTTCAGGCAATTAAAAGACCTTTCTTATAAGATTAGCCCTGCTGTGCCAAGTATTTGCTATATCTGAATTATGATTTAACATGATCTTGTTTAGGTCCAAGAAAGGACCTTATACTGGGAGAAATCTTACACAGCCAAAACTGTCAAAAAAGAAGAAATTACAGAACAACTATAATGATGCTGTATTGAGGCAGGGCAGTTTCCATTATGAACATTCATCTGACAGTCACCTCAAAATTATGCTTACAAAAATCAATTCTAGTTGAGGTTTATATACCAGACCACGCAAACGAACATTGTTGGTACTAGGGTCAGAAAGCAAAAATAAGATTTGCAGCGTTTAGCAACAAATACCACAAGATTAGTGATCAAGCCAGGGAGTTAACACGGGATATTTTCAAATGAATTTGTAATGAAATTATATTTATGCAGAACTTAGTTTGTGCATTCACTTCAAAGGAATGGCATTGAAATTCTCCCTTTTAACTTCACCAAGTCAAGAACCACAAGATTTTTGTACTTACAAATAAAAGTAAGTTCAACATATATTTCTTTACCTCATGTTCCAAAAACAGAGCTTTCAGCTGTCCCTTGGACCAATAATCCATATGATATGCTAGCACCTTCATAGAAATCATATTAATTCTGAGAAAGTTGCCAACAAATACCACCTTGTCGATATTCTGTAAAATTGAAAAGCAGACCAGCAAAAATTATATTCAGCTACATTATTTGCCTCATTGAACACGTACTTCTGCCTCCTCTATAAAGTTAAATGGGAATTTTGGGTTACATTTAAATTCTCCAGACTGAAAAGTAAAAAAAAAAAATAATTGCAGCAAGGAAAAAAAAAGAAAAAAGTGTTATTCCAAAGAAAGTGAGAGGCTGATATCACAGATGGTGAACATTTGCTTAAAAGCCCAGGACCTTCCCAACATGAACAGGATTATGAGTCTATTGTTGGGGGTTTTTTTGGGTTGTTTTTTTTAAATTGTATATGATGTGACTGCACTGAAGACATCTTTTCCCCCTGCTTGTTAAATGAAGCAACTTTCCAGAGATCACTATGATTATTAAATCCAGATGGAGAACCTCTGAAGCGTATCTGAGAAGGATTACGTTAGAGATGGGAAGAAGCATCTTTCATTATCTATTATCTGGACTGTGGTTCCATTTTCAAAAAGCAAACAAAAGATGGCCAACGTGATACTTGACACGTATGGTATTCCTTTGTTTCAAAGCTCACTTGAATTCATTTTTCATACAGAAGCTTGATTTTTGAACAATCAGCATTATGCTGTCAGTGAGAAAGCCACACACTATCCTTACTTGTGTGCACATCAGTGCATGTAAGCAACAGTTCTGGTGCTTAAACAATGCCCGTAACTATCTTACCAAGCCCAGTTTTGCCTGTTATGCACAATAATGCACTTGCATTTTGAATCGGTGTACCATATGATGTTCACCATACACCAGAATTGGTCTAGAAGATTCAGTAGGAGGCCAAATCCTGCAGACACAAGCTTTTACAGGAGTCTTGAAGGAGCCCTAGAAATGTATCTTCAAGAGTCCTCTGCTGAAAATTACCAGCAAAAATCTGCATAAAGGCTAGAATTACCAAGTGTGACCTCTCTAGAGTCATACAGCTCTATAAAGCCCAACACTTGGTTCTGCAGCAATTACTTTGCTACAGACCGCAGTTTTGTCGTGTCCGTACTGTGCATGTGACATACCACAGAGAACATCCTCACCTGAATACTCAGTATTGGAGAGTGCTGATACCCAGATGCAATAATTCATTTATCCAGTCTCTGATGACTGAGTTACATGCCTGATCGTCCTCAAACCAAACACATCAACACAAACTTTATTTAAATAATTCAGGTTTATAGTCATCTATCCCCTTAGACTCTGCAGTCACGTCAGCATGCATTCATACTCATTCCTAGGAATTATATGGCTGAAAATAAGAACTTCTCAAATTTCAAAAGGCTGCTATTAAACATGGCCAAGAGCACTTTGCACCCTCTGACAAGGCAGTTTTGTCTCTGAAGTAATTTCTGACAAAGGAGGGACAAACATGTAACTAATTAATTTCCTGTAATGCAATACCATCAAATGGATTAGAATCTACATTTGAATTTCATTTTCATGAAATTGGGGTTATTTTGCTGAACATACACACGAAGCTACTGTTACCAGAAATTCAAGCAAGTAGTATCTAACACTGAGTATAAAAATTACTGAAAATTTTAAATCTAAAAATACTAGTCATATCTACTAGAATAGCGGAGTGTCTATCAACATGCAAAGTTCATATCAATTTTATTTTTCAGCATTCCTTGACTTGACAAGGTTAAAAATTATGTTAAAGATGTAAAGTTTCCTAGATTTTTGAAGTGAACTAAAAACAGCTTTAGCATTTTTCAGGAGTCGGAAAAATGAAGAAATGCTACTTTTATCTCTTAAGGGAGTCTCGCCAACTTACTTTTAAATTGTTCACTCCTGAAACATTCAAAGCTGAAAGACAGAAGTCTTAAACTGATGAAGGGATGGTGATGAAATGCTTACTTAAGCTAACCAAATCACAACATCCTGGAAAAGACATGCACTCTTCCACTCTGTGGGGTCTTGCTAAATTGTTCAACTACCCTGCAGTAGAAAGCTATAGTATAGCTTCAATATAGTATATATAGTATATACACATTTGCCAATTTAATTGAATATGGGAATCTATAGCAAAGATGCAATAAAAAAAATTGTGCACATATTTTTGCAAGAAGCCTTGTTCAGATGCAACGAAATTGGGGTTTTGCTGAACATACACACGAAGCTACTGTTACCAGAAATTCAAGCAAGTAGTATCTAACACTGAGTATAAAAATTACTGAAAATTTTAAATCTAAAAATACTAGTCATATCTACTAGAATAGCGGAGTGTCTATCAACATGCAAAGTTCATATCAATTTTATTTTTCAGCATTCCTTGACTTGACAAGGTTAAAAATTATGTTAAAGATGTAAAGTTTCCTAGATTTTTGAAGTGAACTAAAAACAGCTTTAGCATTTTTCAGGAGTCGGAAAAATGAAGAAATGCTACTTTTATCTCTTAAGGGAGTCTCGCCAACTTACTTTTAAATTGTTCACTCCTGAAACATTCAAAGCTGAAAGACAGAAGTCTTAAACTGATGAAGGGATGGTGATGAAATGCTTACTTAAGCTAACCAAATCACAACATCCTGGAAAAGACATGCACTCTTCCACTCTGTGGGGTCTTGCTAAATTGTTCAACTACCCTGCAGTAGAAAGCTATAGTATAGCTTCAATATAGTATATATAGTATATACACATTTGCCAATTTAATTGAATATGGGAATCTATAGCAAAGATGCAATAAAAAAAATTGTGCACATATTTTTGCAAGAAGCCTTGTTCAGATGCAACTTACATGTTCTGCTAGTAGTAAAAGTATAAACCAGGGAGACTGGTTTCCTTTATGCAGTTCTGCTGTGCCTAGGACAGACTGCTTCAAATGATGTGTAGCCAAATGGTTCCAGACTATGGAATTTTTCTACCCTACTGCCAACTTTGTGCAAGCAAACTTTGCTTTGAAGTTCTGCAGACAGAATATTTCATTTATTCCCCAGCCTCATTTTTTCCTGCACACATGCAAGTCATTTTCAACACAGCAATAAAGCTGACTTCAGGGCATAAACTGATTTTGTCAAAGAACCTAGAAGTGAGCTTCACCATATCCCTAATCTAATACATACAAACTCATACACAAAACAATATATCATATTCAACTTTTTTTAAGCTCTTATTTGGGCATTTCATTCATGAAGCTTAGTGAGAGTCAGAGCTGTATCTCCCAAAGGCAATTTAAGTGTCTAGATTATTTAGCAGAACGACAGCATTACTTTTTTCCCCTGAGAGCAAGCTATCTGGAGATTAGCTGACTTGCAATGATCTATCATGTCTGAAATCTTTTTTAATAATATGTAAAGCTACTAAATGAAGGGGTTTTTTTTCTTCTAAAGCTACAAAATAAATTTAGTTCTGTTGGAGAAATTCTACTTTGACATTGAGTGGGAAATGAAGAATACTTCACACATCAATCCACATTCCTCCACGAAATTCTGTGGATCGTGTCCAGTTTTTGAGTAAGCCTGCCCACAAAACAAAGATGTTAGGAACTTCTTCACAATGACTCAGAAGCATTAGTTTCATTAGTAGCCTATTTCCTCCTCTGAATGCATCGCATATGGTTCCCTGCCGCAACTCTCCATGCTTTGATAGCCCTGTACAATGCTGCTTGAACTCCATGCCACAAGGCAACACTGTAAAGAAGCTGAAAGCAAAGAGAACACTGAAAGAGAATCATCCTGACTGAAAGAGTCAAATTGCAAAAAAAATAATGTCTGTAGCCACTTTTCACGATGAAGGGAGGTTGTCAGTGGTATTTGATAGGGGCATACGCTGAGACTTGTGCTGTTCAACATACTTTAAAAGTGCTCTAGAAAGGGATATTAGCAACAAACATAACATTTATTGGCATACAAAGTTATTCAGGAGAGTCAGAATAAAAAATGAACAGCATAGCAATGCTGAAGAGACTTACACCCAGTGACTGACGAATAAAATGACAGATGAAGTTTAAATTTAAAAAAAATGAAATTACACAAATGGAAGAGGGAAGAGAGACAGACTTCAGTATTCAGACACAATGATAGGCTCCAAATTAGCCACCACCACTCAAGAAAGACCGTGGAGGGACTGTGGATGGTTTCTAAAAAAAAGGAGCTCCATGCTCACAAAAATAAAATATTAAGAACTGTTAGTAAAGGAACTCAGAACATGAAATTTATCAATATGCCATTACAAAAATTCATTGTGCAACCACACTCTGAATACTGCGTGAAGATCTGATCATTCTGTCTCAAAATTGGAGCCATAGAAAGATTAAAAAGACAAAATGAAACAGTGGAAAAGAGACACAGAGTGTCTTCCGTAGGAGAGGAGACTAAGTATTAGGACTTTCTGTCTTGGAAAGACCAAGAGAGAGATGTGGTAAAGATTTATTAAAAAACAAAACCAAAACCCACCAAAAGCACCAGTGATTAATTATTTGCTATTTCTCATAATGCAAAAAGCTAGATAGGACCCCATAAAGTAATCAGATGGCAGTTTGGTGAGTTTTTTGGTTTTCTTTTGTTGTGGTTTTTTTTTTTTGCAGGTGTGTGGGTGTGTTGTTGATAAAAAAAGCAGCACTTCTAACCACAGAATGCTGTGGAGCTAAAAAACATTAATGTATTAAAAAAAGATTAGATAAATTCATTGAGAGCAGACAAAAGACATTAGCTACCATGTAATAGTAAAGGAGGAAATTCACAGCTCAAAACAAGTGTCTAAATGTTTGGGGTTTTGGGGTTTTTTTTAAACTGCTGGAAGCTGGAAAGGTGTATGAATGGAACAATCCATCCATAGTTATCATGCCTAAAGAAAAGAATGTAACAAGCATCTGATGGGAGTTTGAGGCAGGATAATGAACTATATTTTTCTTCTCTCTGACCCAATACAATGGATCTTATATCTATCAAAACATTTAACACAATACACAGTTTGAACCCATCATGCTATGGAAACAAGCCAAGCAAAATACTATTTTAAAAAAAAATCTGTCATGGTATAGTAAGATCTGTTAATAACTACGAGGTAATGGAGAGTATTAATTTGGATTACAAAGGTGTCAATATCTACATGTTACAGCTTGAGAGCAACCAAACAGCTCTAGGCATCAATGGTTCAAGGAGATCTTTACAGTCAGCTTTCCTCCCCCCTTCCCTACCTTTGAAGCTTAAAGTACCTTACACTTTGCATCAAAGCACACACATAACGCAAATCACAAGAGTTAGGACCCAACATTAAAAATATGCATATTTACCAAGGCCAGTTACACACCTACTATACCAGCAATTTGCATTTTTGTATTCGATAATCTTACTACGTTGTTTCTAAAGGTTTTAAGCTTATAGTAAATATGCTGTCTTACCTCATTCAATGCACACATACGAGCAATAGAACCTATGTTGTTGGTGATGGTGACCAAAGTAGCTCTGGCCAAGTCCTCTTTACTGATGGAATCTCTCTTTTCTTTACTCATCATATGGCCAAAGCTGCGTAAGGAAGATTATTCCTTTTAATATGAGTTATTTCAGAGCGCTAAAAGCCTTTAGAAATTTTATCATTTAATAAGCTTTGCTCGGATTTGATATCCGTCAATTTGAGACAGATTTGAACATGTGAAAAGGGCTCTCATTGGAAAAGCAGAACAATGAACAAAGACACTTCTTCTAAAAAACTGTAATTTAAATGGAAGCAGACTATATCAAGCACTGCTTATACCTGTTTAAAAAAAAAAAAAGAGTAAGAAGTAGGTGAGAGATCTAAGGACAGACCACATGATACATTCAGAGTGACATTTCCACATGGACATAGTACACAGTCCAGGGATTACGCACTCAGTTCAGCATGCACAGTAAATTTCCCAAGGAACTCCTTAAAAACAGCTCACTTAATACACGTACCTTGAGGCTACAGCAGACCCTTGAAGGCCAAACCGCTCATAGTCTCCTCCATAAATATCTTTCACCAGCTTATCCACATTGGTGCTGTCTCCTTTTGCGGCCATTTCTAGTGCTTCTTCAAACGTCTCACAGCCAGTCAGCAGACAGCACAGGCCCAGGAACGTTCCTCCTCCAAGACTAGAAAAAGCACAGTTCCTTCAGACCAGCAGCTTGAACCACCTTTTACCACAGCTCTTCAGACTCCCAGTTTTAACATGGTCTACACAGCTACCAACTATATCTTGCAACTCCTCCCTCAGAGAAGCAAAGACAGGCACCCTAAATTGAGTTTCTATTTAACACAAATGTCATCCAGCATGGTTTTAACTGAACCACTCTTAAGTCTTTAATATTTAAATAGGAGAAATGATGCTAAATAAAGGGTTAGCTGAGAATAAGGTCCAATCCAACACCGCAGGTGTCAGTTTGCTATTTGTAGCACTCTAGCAAGTTTTCCTTGTGCAAGAATAATTAGCCAGGAGATCACTTAAGTCAGTGATCAAAGCTAAATATCTATGCAGGGGCAGGCAGCCAAGACAGATCTTGTCCCCCCTGGCCCATGGCGGGAAGCAGTCTGGTTGGTTCCTGTTCACAGCAAGGCAAGCATCAGCCCTGAATGACTCAGCTCTCCAAAGAGCTCTGAGCAAGGAGCAGCCACTTTAATATCTTGCACGGGCTCAAGTACAATATTTACTGACTATATAAATTTAGCAGGGAGTATTTGACTGTGCATAACAGGTTGCTAACTCATTTCATTAAAATTCTACTTTGGACTCCTCAGTCTTCACAGACATGAACTTCAACTTACAAAGCTCTAAATCCTTCCTCATTCTTTCTTAACCCTTGAGAAAGTTAGCTTATTTGCACTGATTGCAGTCACACCGATCAGAGCCACTGTAAACAAGAGGATCAGTGAGACACCACACTTGCACTTCACAAAAAAGCACAGGAGGTCAGACAGGAACACCATTCAGTCAGTGCTCTTGGATTATTAGGCAAGTTTTTCAGAACACATCTAGCAGCACTGCAATACATTCAGTATCTGAACAGTAGGAAGCTCTGCACACCATCCACAAGACAGTATCGATTTCATCACCTATAATAAGTCAGCAACCCACTGCAGTCACGTTTTTCCTTTCACAGTGGAAAGGATCAGAAGCACATCTACAGATATCAAAAGGGCTATGCCTGAAAAACAAGCAGAATTGCAAGAAAACCAATACCTTTTCCATTCAACTTGCGTTCATCTGTACTGTATACAGAAAAATGGCTCATGGCTACCATTGTGGCAAAGATATGCTCTAGGTAAGGCAACAGAAGACACATACACAGTCATGTGCAGTATACAGGAGAAACTTTGCACTGAAGAACAGAATGCAGCTTTGGAAAGGACTATAGCAAATCCAAAAAGCTTCTTTGGTTGTTGTTTTGGAAGGGGATTTTTTTAGGTTTCTGGTTTGGCAGTGTTTTTGTTTTTAAGACTACTGAAAATGAAGTATATATCCATTTATTTGGCACGTATGAGGAAAAAGGGATAGATTTATTGGTATTTTTACTACTAGTCTGGATGGACACATTTGTAACTAAAGTGATTTCCTGTAAGTAAGCACTGTTGCCACATCTATACAGTAAACTTAAACATGCCTCAGGCTGTTTTTTGGCCTTGAGAACGAAATTCTGCATCCACACTACTGAACTCCTGAATTCCTAAACAGAGCAGTCACATCTAAATCTCCTACTGAACATAGGCCAGAGACCATTTCAACTCAGCTGTACCCTACAAATCATTTCAGAGAGCACTAGCTAACCCAGGCTGAAATCACGCTGAGGACAAAGTAAGAATACAGACAATCAGATTCTATTCTTTACACACTGGCATTCTTTGATTTACCAGCATGGTCCAAAGACTAGTACAATCAGTGAGGAAACAAGACATCTAGTGAGATTCCTCTGCCAAAATCCAGTAGTAGCAGGTAATTCTACAAAGTTTTCCTATATCCTGGATACATCCTAACTACTAAGCAAGAGGTTTTTGTTTAGCCCAAACGTTTTTATTTCACTGCTCTGGCTGTTCTGGGGGATCAAAGCAGGGGAGAGAAGATTCATTTACTGGGACAGCTTTATTTTGGTAATTCACAGCAAGAGATAAGAAGTAGGTAAGAACACCAAGAAGAGACTAAGGCAGCTCTAAAGTTGAATGGATCAATGATTTCCCTGATGTAGACTCCCTCTCTGAAGGAATCCTAGGATATTTCCAGCCTTGCTACTGGTGGGCTTTTAAAAGAAATAGGAAGAGAAGCACAATTTGGGGCTGCACCTACTAGTCACACTGTCTGGTTTTATCTGTTCAATTATTAAGGAGAAAAGAAAATATAATTAAAAGAACATAGAATTAAATTTACCTGGATCCTGTGACTCTCTTATAGTTGTCCTTAGAATACACAGCTAGAATGCTGACCCCTGAGCCTATGTTAACCAGCAGCATAGGATATGGATTATCAAGGCAGTAAGGCTTTTTCTGGCACTGTTCAGGATCTGTAGGATTTTCAAAATAATAGCACTCTGGTTGGCCATTGAAACCAACAGAATCAACATAAAGGAGGCCCTGGATCAAACAGTCCAATTCATCCAGTTTATGGAGTTGTAGATCAGCAATCTGGAAAAGAACAACAAGAAATTAATAAACAAACATCTCCTAGTGTAATACAACCCTGAGAAGGACAAAAGGCTCCGCTTTGATCACTTTAATAGTAACACATTATGCTATTTAAACAGTACAAAGATCTGTCTAAGCATGAAGTCCAAAATAAAAGCAGTTTGCTATCTGCCTGACAATGGGTACCTCCCAAAACAATGATGTGCTGCGCAGTAATGTCATTGAGTTCCTTTGCCTTTGAGATATTCCCTGCTCTGCAAGCAGGAAACATTTCCCCCCCTCAGCATTCTGAAGCAATAAATTTCTTTCCCCTCATCCCCATCCCAAGAGGAGCTGCATTCTGCAGCTTTTGGACAGTATCTGACACATGCCTGCACAGCAGCAGTCCTCAGGATGCAAAGCGCTTTAACTCATCATCCAACTACATTTCCCAGCAATTTAATGAAATATTCAATAGAAGCGTTCAGATCAAGAAACTTCAGTTAAAGAACAAGATAGTTAAAGCCTTACAAAGTGCACATGCTTATGTTAATATGCATTAAATATGCAGTGGATTATGCTTAAAGGATTTGCATTTTTTTAGTATATGTCACCAGTAATCCGAGAGAGCTATTTCTTTAAGTCATAATAAGCACTTTAAAATGCCTCATGAAAAATAGGGTATTCCCAATGTTTGGTGAAAAACAATAGTAAAAAACCCAAACAAAAATATTGTCAGGCCCATGCCCCCAGCAAAATGTTCATAAAAATATAACTAACAGAAGGCAGAAAAACAATTTTAAGAGCTTAAAAAGGACATTACCTCTGAGATCTCACAAGTCACCCATGACTGTACTTAAACAGACATGTCTACTTGCCATAGCATTCTGTTTACTAGAATTAGAAGTCACACCGCTTTCTTGAAATAGGATACAGTGACAATCTGCAGAAAGTCTCCTTTCCAGATGACATTGAGCTTAGACTTGTGTTAGGGAGAAAAAAAAATAGTAAAGTTGCCTGTCCAAACCCTGAGGTCATTTGCACCCTCACACCTGCAAAGTAGGTCTTACCTAACTCCACTTTCTAGCAGAAAAAGTAACAGGGTATTAGGAACAAAAGGGAGTTATACAGCACAGAACTGGTTCTCAAACATTTGCATATTGCAGGATGTTTTTATAACAGCTAATGGAGAAGATTTACAAGGCTAACTACCTCCTATTTTTAATTCTGGAAGCTATATTAAGCCACTATAAAGAGCAAACATATTTCTGTGGAACGGGCATGGCCAACAGGTTACGTTCTTTTGAGCTATTTAAATCTCTCCCCTCAAGTTTTTTCTCTACTTGTACATAGCTCTAACTTGCCTTAACTGAAAGCCATTCTACTCTTTGGGTCTGCCCTTTTGTTATACTTGCTAGTCCTCAAAGCCTGGAACTAGAGAAACGAAATAAGACCAAAAAAACCCAAACCATCAGTCTCAAAGACCTCAATATAGATCCAGTTATTCATAGGACAAGAAAGACAGGTGAAGATAATTTCTTCTTTTTTCAGTATTTCCTCCTGTAACTTTTGCAATCTCTTCATATTTTTTTCTTGGTTACCACATGGCTACACAAATTACAATTACAGAAATGCAGCATAAGAGACTTGAACCATTTAGCCAGCAAATAAAAAGAACAAATACAAATCGGGAGAAAAGGTTTTTAAAGAAATGTTACAAAAATCTTAAGACTACTTTGCAAGTATCTTGGATTTCAGCAATTTCTTGCTGTTAAACTGAGAGGAAAAGCTCCAGTCAAGAGATATACAATACAAGGCATTAACATAATAAATGCTTCATGCACTCTTTCTCACAATGGACATTGCATGGAGCCCACTAAGTCATGACTCGTTAGAGGATTTATTTATTTTGTTAAAATCCAACTAACATTGCACATAGCTAGTCAAAATAAGGAAAGATTCTATACTAACCATGATCTTTCTCCAGGTTATGTGCTGTACAGTCTCAATTTCCTCATCTTACTGTATAAGCTAGATGCGGCATGACCAAACACGATCTAACACAGGTACAGCATGGACAAACAAACACGCTATGAACCAGAAGCCTGCTATACAAAGACAAGTCATTAGCAGATTTACGGCCCCTACTATCAAAACCTCTATTCTCCCATAAGCCAAATACCCAGCCACAAGCTGCTTTTGTCTCATCCTTGTTACACTTTTATAAACAGGTAAGCACCAGTGAGAGACCATGCAAGACATGAGCAAGCAATATAAATCTAAGAGTAAAACACTTCTGGCATCAGTGCAAAAACACAGATAAAATCCTTGTTTCTACAAACTCTCCAGTCAGCCCACCAATTTTGTAAGGACAGAACAAAAGAAACTAATCAAAGGTTCTTTTTCAAGCACTAAGCATAAAAGTTTTATTAGGTCCAGCCCTCCACGCATAAAAGACATACTAGAATTTGCTTTGCTTTTTATAGCTCTGTGCTATATTTAACAGCTGATATACTGTAAGCAGAAAAGCCCTATTACTGCTTTCTTTCATGTATGATATTCATAGCAGACCGAAAAAACTATTTTCCTGTGTTGTTGCAGCAGTCTGGTTTTCATTTTTGGAAGGAGCAAGACCGGCATCAGTATTCCACGTCGGTCTGCCTTCAGAGAACCGCAAGCTCTGCAGCCACCAGACCCCTGAGGCTCCAAACAGCCCAGTGAGCCCCCACTGTTCTTGTTTCTAAACACAAGTTAGGGCACAGTTGCAAGAAATGTAGTAACCCAGTCTTGTACAAGCAGCCATGACAGAGCCAGGGTCAATTCCCAGTCCCTTTCCCTGTATATAGAACAGCTCTTTCTCTATTCGTTTCTTTGCTCGCAATGACTCAAGCAGCAAAACTGCATCACAAAATAGATGTGCCTGTAAACATCGTAACTAAAGTATCAGTAGGCAAATGTTTTTTTCCAGTGCCATCAACTGACCTACCACACTCTACTTGTCCTCATCTTTCAGCTGTTCAAACCACCTCTCCTTGCAGGAACTGCAGTTTACATGCAAAAGTGCAAAACAAAAACAGGAGTTGTGTGTAGAAGCACATTTTAATTGGATGTTTTTCCCAGAACTTTTTACAGAATGCATTTGCAGATATTTTCCAGCCCTTTACAATCCCTAATGTAAGGGCAGACAGCATAATGGTCAACTTGTGCTGCTCTGCACTCCTGTAACTATATTCAGCACAATGCCTCTCTAGAAAAGTTTTGTGTCAGGAAGTTGTGCTACGAGAGGAAGAACTGCAGAACAAAGTAGTGTACAGGACCCTGGAGGGAAAATTTATGATGGTTACAGGGAAACCATACGTACATTTTTTCAAAGAACAATGTTTCTACATTATAGCCAGATTGTAGAAATTCCTCTTTATTTTAGACTGTTTTTTAAACATCAGGGGAGGGGAGGGAACAAAACACTTTGGACCTCAAGGAACTCTTCAGGACCATCAAAAGGAGGGACTCAGGACTTTAACCATGTTTACAAGCGAGTGCAACACAGCAAGTAAGTAATGAACACCTCCCCATGACAGTTCACACTCCTGCAACAAACTCCTGAAACCCAGCTGATTTCAAGGATACACAAAAGGTCTGTTGTTACTATGTACAGATGCTATTCTAAAGAGAATGAAAGCCCACCTCTTGTTGTACACTTGCAAGAAATGCTGGAAAACGGTACTGCCTGTTCAAGTTTAGGGTTTGGTTTTTTTTTTTAAATAATATGCATAATGTCAAACAATTTTTAGCTGTATTCAAGTACCAGACAGTATAAAAGGAAAAAAATGTGGTACCAACTTGCTGCTGCTTTGAAGTATGGAAGCACAGAAGTCAAAGACTTGTGTCATGTTTGTTTCTTTATGGGTGAGTAAATATTTCCACCTCAGCAAAGAAAACATGAAACAGCCCAGTCCTCAAGAAGTGAGCTGAGGGCAGCCATGACATATGCAGCACAGTTGAAGCCTAATGGATCAACATTGGTGTGCAGACATCTTTACAATGAAGCTCCAGCTCTTGAAAGATTTCACCCAGTTTGAATTTTCACACTGTTACCGAGTTCTGGTGGGCGCAGGAACGTCCAAACCTAGATGCAGTTACAAGTTCATCTGTCTCTTGGACTTTCAATCAGAAATAAGAATTTTTTTCTGTAAGAAACTGTTAGGAACATAACGTCTTGCACGTTTTTAATTATCAACTGCAACAGCCTCATTTACTATATCACTCTGGCTTTTATATGCCTTCTGGGCATTGCTCCACTTTTTATTTCTTATAATAGCTTACAGTCTAACTGTTCCTTCCCTCTCCTTCCCATTACCTCTCCTCCATTTTCATTAAGATGCACTTTGCTTCCTTTATATTTTGATTGTCTTCACCTCAACACCCAAACCTGCTTCTTTTTGAGCTCAGATGAGGTACTCCCCCCAGCTCATTCCACACCCTGAGGCTGGGAAATATCCACTCACATTGAAACAAGACAAAGTCTAATGCAAATAAAGGGTAAGCCCAACATTCTCTGAGGCAGAAGGAGATAGACTCTGCACCAGCTTTGGGCAAAAAAAGCACTAGTCTGGGATCCTCTGCAGAGGATCTGCCCTCTCGCCCAGCTAGCTGTAAGGATCTCTTCCCTCTCTTGACAGGAAGAAGATGCACATTGCTTCTCCCCATTCCCTCTGTAGAGTTTCCTAGCTTCTTGTGGTGGTGGTAACAGAAGGGATCATGGTTACTTCACCCGTTCTCTGGATGCCACTTGCAACTCCAGCCCAGTCTACACACTACAGGCCAGCACCTATGGCCTGAGCAGCAGTGTCCAGCCTCCTCAAGCAAGTGAGGTGCAAAAAAATTTTAGTGTCTTACGCTAACCTAGAGTTACACAGCTTACTCATCCTACAACACAGGACAAATGTGTTGTTTAAACAAGTTTACTTGTTTTAAGATAAATACAGTCTACAAATCATCCACAGGCATTCGGTTCATACCACAAAGTCAAGCCTTAGAATCAGCTAATAACTGGCACATGGAAATCACTCTCCAACAGCCAAGCCTACTCTTAAAACATTTTTCGTACAGGTTATGGGGAAGGTCAAGGCCTGAGTTTAAGTTTGTGTTGGCAACAGATTTCCTTCCTCCCCTGCCCCAAATGTTGTTTATTAAGTGATTGGTTTTTGGCCCAGGCCCTGCTTCCACTGAAGCCAGCAGTAAAATTTCTGTCAAGACAAGTCAGGTTCTGTAGGTGTCTGTTCAGGAAAGGAATACAGAGATCCCACCTTTAAGCCACTGCAATCGACAGGAATTTTGCAATAGAGCAGGTTTTAGACAAAAGTCTGAATAGTCCTTTCTTCCCTCATCCCTCATGTATCCTTTACATTGAGTTGCTTTACAAAACTGAGTGACAGCCTACGAATTTATTCCTCGTTACATTAACAGCACACTTTTGTGCAAGTAATGTGCGTGTGCTTTCATAGAGTATAAAGACATTTATATTACAGGTACACAAGCAAGTAAGTCTATGTACTCCTTACTTTTACAGAAGTGATGTTACTTGAGCATTTACAGAATATGCAAGGTGACAGTACGTAGTTGGGGAAAGGAGAGAGGATTATCAGAATAAGGTGACAGATTCATCCATGCCTTAACACCACTGTTACCTGAAAATAAAGTCAGCCAGCCATAAATACGAGTCATTCAGAAAGGGGGGAAAAAAAAACCCGAACAAAAAACAAAAACAAGAAAAAACACCTAGTCATTCAGAAAGGGGGAAAAAAAACTGAACAAAAAACAAAAACAAGAAAAAACACCCTAAGCTGGAAACGGTCCTTTTAGCGAATTACTTACTGATGCTCTTCAATGAACATTAAGTATAAACATATGGTTGGTAAAATTATTTCTGTGGTCTAGTTTAATGAATAAAGTCAGTTTTCCTGCTTCTAGGGGAAGCATTCAGATCTTAAGAATGAATCAAATGATTTGCCAGGCTACTGATCGTTATTGCCGGCAGTCACCAAGCAGTCCATGGAGACTTCTCCAGGTCTCCTCCTATCCAACGCTGTGGATCAACATGACAGGGAGGTCAGATTGCTAAACCTAGCTAGCTTTGTAGATTTAGTTGCCTTTCTATGGCACAGAAGACAGGCTTAACGTAAACAGAAGATGCTTCCCAATTTTATTTTATTTTTTAATACACAAAAGCAACAGAGATGTCTAGATCAAACCTATTTAACTCATTTAGGGATTCAGAATTAGACACTGGAACAGGCAAGTAACAACAGGGTGTTTGCTTGTCTATTTTAAGGAGAAAAAGGTGCTGTAATCTAAGAAGGATTCCTTCTTTGGGATTTGAATGCTGTTTTGCAATATGTTGGATCTTTTGTCCTAAATCTATGCAATCCTGAAAGTCCCATAAGCATTTAGAAATACCACAAAAGACAAATAACTTAAAAGCATGTACATCGGGAAATAAAGGGCCAGAACAAAAGCATGTTACCTATTATCAGTTTCATGAGTTTCCTTGAATTTAGCCAGATTTTTTGATGAAATTAAGAACATTCACAAACATACTTTAGTTTTTCCACATTGCTTCTAAGTTACAGAAACAGTAACATTTAAAGCCTCCTCCATATAAGGCATTATACAATATTGAATCCTTCAACAGCAGGATATTAGACTTGGCACATGTTCTCTACTTCCACAGGTGCATTAGAGTGATCAAATATTTGAAACAGACATTTAAATGCTTTGAGAGAGCAATCCTGAAGCTGTTGTCCAATGTCAATTTACAGTCAGCGGAACACACCGAGATAGCCAGCTGCTGTTACAATGGCTAATGAAGCATGACAATTTAAGTGCCAGTACCCAGGACACTCAGCCCTTCGAGAGAGATTAAGCAAGCAAACCTTCATGTAATGGATAGTATTTTGCTTCTGTAATACTCAATGGATATTACAGTTTGAGCCAAGAAATATTTGCTATAAAGGAAGGTGTGGGACTGGAGAGCTGTAAGAAGAGGTGTCCAAAACACTCACTTAGGTGTGAGTGCACTTCATGGATTGCTTTATGCTACAAGACACCCTAGCCAGCCTTTATTGTTTTTCTTAAACTACCTACAAGTGTCACAGCACAGAGAATGTTAACTAACACTGCAGAGATGTGGGATTGCATGCCTAAGTCCATCACTAATTTGCTGTGTGACCTTATATTTTTGTACAGTAGCTAGCAAAACAGCCCCAACTTCAGTTGCTACATTGACTATATTGCAGCTGAGATGACAGAGACCGGTCCCCCACTGTAAATTGCATATTTATGCTAGATAAAGCCAAAGCTATGGAGAGAAATGCCTAGCTGTGATAGCCACCAGGTAACTTCCAGCTCAATTCTGCAGCTGTGGGAGCGAGGGACATGGAATTCCTTATTAAGTAAGCAACTCTAGCTGTTATTACATGACGCAGGAGAGATGAATTTGGGAAAACTGACCATTCCAAAGGGATAGTCAGCCTCTTCAGAAAGTCTCAAAGTGACCTCCCATTGTCACTAGAGAACGTGACCTGAATCATCCGCTGGACACATGGAAGTACACTCAAAAACCTGAACTGAGGCTACATTGACTAGCACTAGAACTCACCTCCTACTCTGGTGCCAACATCCTTAGACAATGCAAGACAAACTGAAACTTCTGAAGACTCAGTTGTCAGTAGGGGATTTACAATCAGCCGAAAGTACAAGAAATGTGGCACTAGTAGTGGACTACTACAGCAATTCAGAAACTTGATAGTCCTTCATTAGACTAGCTGCTTCCATGTCCAACATTTACTGAAAATGATTGCACAAGTGTAACAGCTGGAATTCATGTTGATCTCTTACAGCATTCTCTTTTCCCCTTAGGATCTTGGTCATCTGGTAGATGAGGGGTATTGACAAAGAAAAACCTCTTGTACTGCAGGAATGGATGCTTGGAGGTGAAAAAGAAGCATACAAAGCCAAAAACTACAGTCAACGGCAGTTGGTAAATCAGTATGATAGCTCCCTAGACTGAATCAGAGACAGAAAAGCAACTGATGTAACCTGTCATACCCAGCAGCCATCCCTCACCCTCAAGATCAGGTCAAAAGCTGGGGGCAGAAGTGTCAGGCCTGCCTGCCAAGTAAATAATTCACATTAATCTTAGTGAGACTGCTCTGGTACAGACAGACTAGTCATTCTTTTACAGAAAATAAATTGAGATATGCCCCAGTAGACACACATACACAACAGGCAACTGCCTCTCAAATGACTATTTCTCTCTAACGCAGTTTGTACAATGGCTCTCTATGCCTCTGTCGCCACAATCAATTTTTGCTGTGCACTCTAGTGCAGTCATTGGGGAGCTAGGACTATTGCCGAAGTTTATACAAACAGCAGCATCCCAATACTTCAGATTTACAGCAGCTTCCAGAGCTCCCTGCAGAGGTTATTTTTAAATTCTAAGGGATCTGGGACCTAGTCACCTCATGAACTGCCTTTCTTCACATGACATCCTCCCAGAATTGAAATCAAAAGCTAGCTGCTATTGTCATGATTCCATACACTGTTTCTCCCCCTGCTCCACACTTGGTCTTCCAGACTCTTGACTTAAGTCTGCTTGAAGATTAATACAAGGGGAAGGAAACCTGAATCTTATCTCCAGCCTGTATGGTTTCATTTCTGGTTTTCTAGTAGATATCCAGTTTGCAAGATGAGTACCTGTAGTCTCAGGCTTCTAGGTTGTCATAACACGCTCTTAGTTGATTATGAGGCATCTGATCATCACAGCTGTACTCTAAAAAAAATCACTTACTGAAGACATCATGCACAGTAATACTTCAGTAGAATACCTTCCCCTGTGCCCTCCACATTCTCAACAATTCCACCAATTAACAAATGTGAATTGATTCTGTTAGTCTTAACCAGTTAGGATGGACAAAAAAAAAAAAAGTTATTTGCTCTGCAAGTTCTAATAGAAGGACTCCCACGTCTCCCCAGAGTACTTCCCACTGAACCCATATGAACTGTTCACGTACCGTTCTAAAGTCCTCCTCAAACTTGTAAGCTCCACCTCCTGTGGCACAGAGCGTAGTGTGCAAACTGGAGAAGTTCTTTTCACTACCCATCTGTATGAACCTGTGCATGGCACAGCTGGGAAAGCGGATGAAGTGCAGGTTTCCTTTACGTCCACACATAGTCAAATTTTTCAGTTCAAGATGGACATCGCGAATGCCAGTTTTACCATAGGCTGTATTGGAGGTCAAGTATTTCCTAATGCTTTTCAGGTTTTCCACCTCCTCCTGTTCCTCTTCTGCAGTAATGTCCTTAGGTTCAAAGTAGACCAGTTTAACCAATGTTCCACCGATATCCATTCCAAACCATGGAAATGCTAAAGACAAGAGGGTTGGGGAGGAAGAAAGAGAAAGTCACTATAAATATACAGGTTAGCCATACCACTTAAAACATTTGCTGAATGACAATTCACTGCAGTCACAGTAGCAGCATCTGCTCCTGAAAGCCGGTGGTCACTTACATGTCCAATTCACATATATTAAACACCTCTCTAACTTAAGACTTCATAAAGCCTCAGTTAAGAAAAAGAATAAAGAAAATCTCAAAATACTCTTCTCTGGAGAAGCAGGTTTTAATAAAATGAATTTTTTTTTTCCCCCCAGGAAAACATTTTATTCTTCAGTCATCACCTCTTGACAGAGCACATTTACCTCATTTCACCCAGTCTGACTCCCAGCACCAATTCTTAAAATAGACTAAGGAGGGGAGAAGGAACAACCAACCAAACAGGAGAACAAGATTTCTCAAGTCACATTCCCACCGCGTAACATCCACAATTGCCTTTCCAAGACCAGTTGGAATTTCCAGAGTCTGAAGAGCAGCAATACATAACCCTCCCATTACGCTGAGAGTCTCCAGACTTCAAGCCACCAGAACTAGCAGCTCTGTTGGAACTATACCACCTGCATATATTAGCAGAAAGAGAATGAGCCGTTTTAAGTTCAATATTTACCACTGACAGTCCTTTTCTTTGAGCATAGACTCCCTTTGCTGGTATATGTGTTAACCTATCACACAACTATACAAGAAATGCCACTATTTGCTTCTCAGCATACATAGACTTGCCACAACCGGCCTAGGTCTACCAAAGCCTTTGTTCTGTTAATAGCAAGAGAAAATGACTATGGAGAACACGCAGACTGAACCGGGTTGGTCTGCCTGCTCTGCTTATATATACACGCATACATTTTAAATAGTAAGCCAGGTAATTTTATGAAGCAGTAAGAAGTGAGAATACAAAATCTATACACAGGTACTGCAGAAGGAGGCAGCTAGTAATGTTTCTCAGAGAAATTAAATTAAAAGTACTGAGTATGCGGCTAACATCTAAGATGCATTTCTAAAATAGCAGTCACACAGTCACCTCCCTGCTTTTAGGGAGAATCAGGCAGACTTGCTAGAAACATGATTCTACCAACTAGGGCATCCCCACTTAGTGTTGATACAAACTCCAGACCATGGACACCAGATGCATTATTGATTTTTCTGCCAGTGAACCTAAATGTAAACAACTTGGGGCAAGATTTTAATAAGCATAGGTGGTACTGATCACACTGTTCTTACTCACGTAATCACAGATCAGTATTAAGTTACTCAACTTCAGGCTGAAAGGAGCTTAGAGTCTTTTACTTCTTACCACAAGGGTCTCAGCATCATTCTTGTCTGGCTGAATAATTCAAAAGTCTAAATTTCACAATTGTTAATACCCTCCCCAACCAATCCTTAAAGGTCAGATGTTTAAAACGGTTATTTTGCTCCATTGCTGTATGCCAAATAATTGAATCATCAGTTTCTCCCCCCTTTCCCTAAGGACAAGGCAGGCATAATGCATAAGCTCCCATGAAGTAACTTCCTTACAGTTCAGTTTTTCTAAGAGCACCTACTATTATCTGTTGTAAAGTCTAATTTCTTCTTCCATGCCCTACAAGCTGCAAGACACAAAGACACTGAAATGAAGTCTAATTTGAGGTTTGGGAAGATACACCCTATGCAGATGCATCAGTGCTCCCTGAATGGGAAGAATTTGAAACAAGCATTTTTAAAATAGGCTTTATTTTAAAGAGGAAAAATATTTTACCATACACTAACCTGTAACTCAAACACTTTTGGAAGTACAAGGTAAACATTTAAGCAAAAGTGGTCTGGTCCACACTGTACAATACTACAATGCAGTGGAGCTCAGGATGCCAATCCCATTAGTGATTTACACAAATCTTTATTTAAGCTACTGAGAACTTTAATTACCTGTCCCACTGGAACAGTAAGTCTCCTCCTCAGATGTATCTTAATTATGCAAGCAGGAAGTTTAATTTTAAAAGCAGCATGGTTGGACTGTGCAATACAGAACCAAGCTGTAGCTAAGTGTAAGCCAATTTCCAATATTCTACATTAAGGGCATAAAATCTGCTACAGTCTACCTGTACCAACAGTTGCTTTTAAGCTATAGCGTAGATTTAATCTTTAAGAGAGCGAAGAGGCATTCCATCCTCCTATCAAACACAAGTCCAGCAATAAAAGCGTTAAGTACTAACAGCTGAGAGTTATTCATAAATGACTGTCAAGACATTTACTTTTACATCTTAACATTTTGAGGAGTCATAACTAAATCATTAACAAAGAATAAGTACTGTAGAAAACAACTATGAAGTTATTTCAAGTCTGTATAGCTCTTGGCATAGGTACACATAATGCTCACATTTAAAAAGCAAGCAGAAATATCAAGACGCTTTTTTTTAGTTTATTCTCTCTGTGAATCTAAGCTCCTTTCATTTTGTTGTGAGCTAAATGGAGAGCTGCAGAAAGAAAAGAACTCTGCTCTTAGAACAGCAGCAGTTTTCTTCAGCACAAAGAGCACAAGATCAGTCCACAACAACCGATATTTCAGTTATGCAGAACAGCAGCTTAGTTTTCTTCACAGCTGCTAACACCAGCTATCTGTTGGAACTACTTGCAATAAAGACGACAATTATTTTCCCTGGTTGACCAATTAGGACAAAAAACAAGTCTCAAAGTTCCTGACAAGTCCCACTGAAATTCATGTAACTTCTGTACAATTAGAGTGACCGTAGAAACACTTCTGTACTCCAGCGATTATTTAAAAAGTTTATTCATTGTATCTTTTGTTCCTATCAATATGTTCCAAAACAAAATGCACCACTGAAGCACCATCAGTTCTTTTCAGTATCTTTAGATAACCCACCTTAGCTGGTACCTATACACTTGTATAGGTATATATATATACCTATACACTATACCTATACAACTCTCCTGACACCACTGAATGCAGTGCTAATGGGAGCATGCATGCAGACTGCAAGGTGCTCCTGGGTTTTGCTGCATCCCTGAATACAGGGCCATTCAGAGGCCACCGAAAATCATTAGGGCCCTCACTGCTACAACCAGGGGGTATGAAGAAAGAAAGGTATTTGTGTAGATACAGTCTCCACAGGCTTGAGGGAAAATGGGGGGGAAATAGTGGGGTTTTTTTGTTTGTCTGTTTGGGGTGGTTTGTTTTTTTTGTTTGTTTTAAACTGGAAGTCCAGCATTTCATTGATAACCTGAATAAATGTCCAGTTTCTTGAGTTATTAAAAGCCAGGAAAGCAAGGAGAAGAAAGTGAAATCTGTCACATCCACATCTTCGACTGATAACAGTTATTCAAAACTGTGTGATTTGCTATGAAAAATGAAGACACTGGATATGCTGCAGAAATGCTTTCACAATGTAAAAAATGCACTTCTTAACTAGAATTGTCTGATAAGACTGTTATGAGCTGGTTTCTCTCTTCTCAAAGTCAGTATGCAATACACCTATTGGATCAATGCAATCTATTACTGTGGAGAAAATAAAACTATTCTACTGTATTGCTACACTGCAGTAAGTCATAAAAAACACCACCACTGTAAAATCTAGTTCTAGGTCCCATAGAACTGATACAGAAGGCATCAAGATGAATCATGCATTCTTAAAAGCCTAGCATAAATCAAAAGACTCCGCTTATCTTCTTAAGAAAATTAATTCTCTTTATGTTAAACTGCACAAACTACTTAATGGTTTGTTATCTTGAGATAAAAATCTCCATTACTCCAAAATTTAGCTGCAGAAGCATGTGACAATGCAAACAGAAGGTATCTACAGCATTGCATAATTAGGTAATCCAATGCACATCAAGAGCTGTGCTATCTGGGGGAAAGGTTCACTCATGAGAAATTCCATGATACATTTCACCTAGTTTCTGCACAAACTTTGAAGAGTATGAACCTATGCGGCTATTCCTATAAGGCATGTTACGTTCAGAACTGAACACATTTGATTTTTAAAAATCCTGTGCTTAACATACACTATAAGGAGGGGGTGTGGAGGGTAAATACAAAATCGCAACACGGACAAGATCAGCAGAAGCAAGAATGAAAGGGAACTCCTAGGTCACTAAGTAACATTTCCCCCCATTAAAGAGGATAACCAAGGGTAATCCTTTTCATATGTTTAAACAACCACCACGTAAGGCTAGCTGAATCTTTTTACTCCTCAGCTCTTAGGAGGAGATTGTGCCTGAATTCTGCTGGTTAGAACTTTCTTCTCTCTACCTGGACCCTAGATTTATCCATGACCAATTTGCAGCAGTTTCTTCTTTTGCAAAACTGTTTCAGCTTATACATCTCTCTTATAAGTCCTGTATTTCCTTGAACACAGGCACAGTATCTCAATTTTTTATCACTGATTTGAATGGTAGTATCAATACTCTGATATCTTAGTCATAAATAATTCAGATGAAATATCTTAGGTTCAGCTGCTTTTCTTCCTGGACACACATATGATGAAATCCTATTACTTCATTTACATTTTTCATTTGCATTTAATTTGCATTGCTTTATGCGCTGATGATCTAAGAACTTCCTGTTTTAATTGGGACTGGAAGAGGGGAGACAGCATGCCAAAAATAAGAAATGGGGGGGGAGAATCAAAACGAGTCCCACGTAAGATGGGATAGTATTCTCACAGCTTCTGAAAGCTGCTTTCTATTAAAAAAGTTGATAATAGCTTACATATATTTTTTCAATTCCTTCTTCCTATTTTACACAGTTATTTTGAGCAATCCAAACACGTTGTAAAATAGAAGCATTTGTTTTCCTTTGAACAAAAATAGAATATATAGCTTAAAAAATTAATTAACTCTGCTTAGCAATGGAAGTTTCTTCACACCTTACAAAGCTAGAGCTAAATAAATCATGCACATATATCAGACGAAGCCTTCCAGTTCATTTTCAGCAGCAAGGGCTTATTGAATGTCTACCTCCTCACCAGAAAAAAAAAAAAG